CAGCAACTTGTCTGTTCCCCTTCCCCCAATTCCCCAGCACTGTTCCCATCCCCCCAATTCCCCCAATAAAAAAAAAAATCTTAATTAAAAAAAAAAACATATCTGGGAAATGCAGTAAGATGAAGCACAATAAAATGAGGTATGCCTGTACTTCCTTGAGTCATCTTTACAGGAAGCGCCATGTGTCGCCGGGACCCTGGCCAGGCATCCCCAAAGCTGCCTTGTGTGATCGTGTGTGACAGAGGCTGGACCACATCCTATCCTTACCTTGCATCTTTTCAAGTTTGCTCATGTACAAGTTGAACAGGGAGTAGATGCGCTCCGTCTCTCGGTCCCCGTCGATGTCCAGCTGGATGTTTGCTGGGAGGCCACTGCTCGAGCACCGTGAGAAGAACAGAAAGCACAATGCTATTAACCATGATGTTGATTTTTTTTTTTAAAGATCACTAAAAACAACAGAGTGATCTGACATTGAACTTATTCCCAACTGGGGCTGGGACATTTGTGTGTGGTCTGTGAAATGGTTCATTAGCGTTTAAAAGTGACCATCCACAGTCTTGGAGAACTGGAGGTCTCTCATTACACACAGATCGACCAAGGCAGCAAGCAAACAAGGCGGATTCATCTTGCCACGAAAAGAAATGACCTAGAATAAAAACAGCTCTGACAGATGAACTTGAGCCGTTCACCCTACAGGGTCAGTCGGCTGCCCCAGGTGGGGACAGACGGGTTCCTGCGCTTGCACAAGGGTGCAGCAATGGCCCCTCCCCCTGACACACTGCTCAGCCTCTCGGGGGAGACAGGATGGGGCTTTGTCACACACTCCTGGGCGGGACCCAACAGGAATTTATCCCAAGTCAGCTCCTTCATCTGTGAAGCCGCATCTCCTGTTCCCCCCTGAAAGCTTTGGGGGGATCCGTCACATCCACAACCGCAACGATCAGCAGTTGCCACTGTTCTCACAAGTCACATGGGGCACAGGGACCGGCTGAGCACCCAGATGGGCTTGAGGCACCCAGACCTTCTAAGGCTGGCAGGGACGAACCTCTAATNCAGATGGGGGCCAGTCTGGAGCTAGCTTCAAGACAGGGAAAAGGTGCGGAACTTCCTGGGGGCAGGGTCACTGGCCCACGAAAGCCTAATTTTGGAAGTGAATGGAAGTGAATGTGCTGCGCAGGCAGGAAGGCAGAGGTCCAGGGAGTCAGGACGTGGGAGGGTGGAGGAGGCAGGAGGGGAGGAGGGGAGAGAGGTACTGTCCCCAGGATGCTAACCAGAGGGCCCCAGAGAGTAAAGGAAGGCCATGCTCTGAAGGAGCCAGCAAGCCTGCCTGGTCCCAATGCTGGTAACAGGTGGCTCTAGGGCAGGCCTGGCCCCGCATGGCCCTTGAAGCTCCCTGTAGCCCTTTCCCCCGCTACCCACACCCCTGCCGAGACCTCCCATGCAACCGGGTGCCATACTCACTGGCTCCCATATTTGGTCTTCTTGAACTTATCCCTTTTGTACTGGGCATGTTCTTGCTCCAAGGTCCCAACTCCAGCGATGACCTGCTTCAGTGTCTTGTAGGTCTCCTGGGGGTCGTCAATGATGAACGTCGAGTACTCCTCCTGCTCTGGGCCGTCGTACACAGATCTGCTCCCACAAGCCTCTGCAGCACCGGGGACAGGGCCAGAGGTCAGTGTGAAGGGGAGCACCTAGACAGGCTGCCCCTGGCACTCTCTGAAACAGCCTCCTCAGGAAGAGGCTGGCCATTCACACACAAACGCGCCCGGAAATAGAACCCATTCCCACCAGTCCAGCCAACACTGAGTGCTGAAGACGCCTGTGCGGCTAGAAAGCCAGGGCTCAGGGACCAAGGCATCTTGGTGTGCAGCTCCGCACGTCAGGCTCGCAGCCCATCTCTGACCAGCCCTTCCCCCAGATGACATGCATCCATCCACACTCCTCTGGCTCAACAAGCCACAAACAACAGACATCTATTCCTGAACACTGGGCCAGGCTGGCTTAACAAGCTGCTGGCTTAACATGCTGGCTTAACATCAAGTCAGTCTGGGGAGATGAGCTTGAGGATGTCACCTCTCGGCCAGACTGTGTTAGCAGTTTCCTAAAACCTGTCACCCCCACCTGCGCAGCAGGTAACTTTCTCATCTCAGTCCTACTGAAGACCATGCAGAAGCCTTTAGTCATCCACAGGAAACACCCAAACATCTGAGCGGAGCCCTGCACTCCAAGGCCACAGAGAGACTAGGTGGGAAGACATGCAATTGGCAGGGCACCTGGCCCAGGTGAGCCAGCATCAAGGGGGCTCCTCGCCCTCATCCACACTGCTAGTTTATTAGCACAGAAAGCGCCCATGTCCACTTTACTGTCTTTACATCCAACTCAGGGGAAAACTCTCAATTCTTACCGAAAAATCACAAGTCTCTGCAAAGGAAAACTGGGAAGGTTTAACATTTCAAAGAAAAGGGGAATGTGTTAAGAGAAAAATAAGGAGACCAAAGCCTGAGGGATAACAGAGCCAAGAAGAGGAGGAGGAGAGGTGAAAGCAGTCCAGGGGCCCCCAGAGCACCAAGTATGAGCTCAGCCTTTTTTCTCTTCTAAGTGAAGCACAGGGTTAGGGCTCTGGAGCCAGGAGGCCTGCACCTCCTCCCCAAAGCCACCGCCTATTGTAACTGCTTGCCTTTGCGTAAGTTACTTAAACTCCAAAAGCCTCAATGAGCCCTTCTGTGAAATGGGGCACTGGCACCTCCATGAGCCTCCTGGCCTGGGGCCCAGCAGAAGTGTGAGCTGTGGTTGCTATTGTCATCAAAATAAGAGCGAGAGGACTGGTGCAAAGGAATGGCACAACCACTATGGACAGGTCAAGAGGGCTAAGACCCGAATAAGCAAATGTTTGTGAAACATGTGAAAGGCAACAGGAATTCTCATTGCCAGGACATGTGCAGTGCTAGCAGAGGACAGGTTCACATCTTCACTGACAAGGGGGTCTGCGGTTTTCTACAGCTTAGGTGTACAGCAGGGATCACTGAAGGCCCTGAGAAGAGGCAAGAACGATGGTGACAGGGATAAGGATAAAGATACAGGCAGCTAGGACCCATCCCTTCTCAGCTCCGGGCGCTGCGCTCACTGCTTCACGGGGTTTATCTTCACTCAGTCTTCAGATTGACCCGTGGGGTTGGTGCCACTGCTGCCCCATTTCACAGAAGAAATCAGGGTTTGTCTAGTGTGCGACATGTCTCACAGCGGATGCCAAAGCTGCTTCTGAATTGAGGCCTGCGAATCCCAGAAGGATCCCACCTGAGGGCACCAAAGAGCGTGTCTGGGCGGGTAAGTGCTAGGAGTACAGGCCCAGACCCTGGAGGAGGTCTGAGGACTCATGGCGAGTGAGTGGTTTTTAGTGTTGAGAACATGAAAAAAGAGGAGTCCATAAGCCACTTTATCAGATGCAAAGCTCCTGAATGGATTGTTAAATAGATTATGTGCTAAGGTCAGGGAAGAGAAAATAAAACCGGCATCAACTACAATAGAACGGATCACCATAAGCACGCTGCAGTTCCTCTTTAGTAAGATTTATAAAACCAAGACTTAGGCAAATGCCAGAGTGTACGCTTTTTAAAAATAGCCCATGAACAAGATGCAGCACTGCAGACTAGACGACGGGGCAGTTAATCAGGTAGTTTATGCTGACCATCCACGGACCCAAGCACTGATTTCCCCCAAACAGATGCCTAACCTGCAGAAAGCTTTTTCCCCATCAGGGCTATAAATGATAACACCACACATTGACCATAGAGGCTCAGAGGAGTTTATAGTCATATCTCGGAGATACTGGGAGTTCAGTTCCGACTACCACAATAAAGTAAATAATGCAATAAAGCAAGTCACACAAATGTTTTGGTTTCATAGTGCATATGAAAGTTATGTTTCACTGTACTCTCGTCTATTAATGTGTAATAGCACGATGTCTAAAATAGTGATGTAATACCTTCATTAAAATTATTTTATTGCTCAAAAATGCTAAGCATCATCTGAGGCTTCAGCAAGTCACAATCTATTTGCTGGTGGAGGGTGTTGCCTAGATGTTGATAAAAACATATCTGGGAGGGCCGGCCGAGTGGCGCAATGGTTAAGAACTCGCTTGGGATGCCAGAGGGCCCCGGTTCGGATCCCACATATGAGGGCCAGTGACACTGCCCTCTACAGCTAAGATNCCCCGTACCCCTAAAATATCAAGAGCATTTTTCTCAAATTGGGATCTCCGTGCAGTTCTGCACATCCCAGTCACAAAACTGACCCTCCAGCCGAGAATAACACCAACATCAAAAGCTGAAACCAGGAGGCCATCGGCCCGTGGACCCGGGGCAGCAGGCTCATAGGAAAAGAGTAATGCTTGTATGTCCCGGCTACGCTGAAGCAGAACGTTAGAGTGCCAGAAGGCTCCCGGCGCAGGCACCGAAGAGACCGGCAGAGGCAGTAGTGCACACGAGACAAGCACACGCTCTGCAGGGGGCGAGGCCCCGCCAGCACCTCGGTCCAGGAAGGCCAGCTCAGAGCACCTGCCCGCCAGCGTGAATAAAGTGCATGAAAACCATGAAAACGGCTCCTCAAGAGTCTCGGAAATTCCATTAGCTTGACCTTTGTTATCTATACAAGCAGATGAAGTGTGGATCCCTTTGCTCACTCGCTTCGCATTCTTGTCTTTCTCTCTTTCTTCCTTTCCAAACACGGTGGCTTTCCTGGTGTAGCTCATAGCGCCATCCTGGGAAGGGATGTCCTACAGACTTCAAATGGAATGGGTGGAGACCTCCGATTGCTGCCTGATGTAGCTTTGGAAACTTTTATCTCCAATGGGGTGTTCCCTGCAAAGGGGAAACAGGAGAGAGGAGACAATGAGGCAGCCCCCCTCCTTTGCTGGTGTTCATATGCACTTCTTAAGAGTCTTTTTTCTAACTAGATAGGTGATGTGTATTCTTTGTAATAAATATGAGAAATTAGACAAGCAAAACAAGAATTAGCCTGAAGCCACTTGTGGAAGCACCCCTTGTGACCCTGGTCACAGTGTAGATAAGTCATGTGTGCGCACGGAAGCATGTGTGTAGAGCACGTGCAGTGCACCCGCACACGTATGTAGAAACTGTGAGCTCCAGGAGTGCACGGTGCTGTCTGTTGAATGCCTGGTCCCCAGGGCCATGCCTGGTGCATCACAGGCGCTCAGTCCTGTTAGCTGGCTGAGCACTTGCACCGCTGCTACCACAGGAAACAGGACCCAGCTTTGCTGGCTGTTTTCAACCCATGGCTTTACTGTGTTTAATAAAAGACAACATTTTTAGAAGGTTAA